GTACAACTCTATAATACATTATGTGTATATTGCACTGTGAGTTCACCAATCAAAGTCAAGTCTCCTTCCATCACCATTTATCTGCCCTTTCCCCCCATTCCTCTCCCTACCCGCAAATCTGGCTTATTATATAACATATCTTAAAAGCAGGTTGCTGGAATACTGCTGACAGTTATGCAAAACTCTTGCCAGGACAAGTGGAAAAAAGTGACCCAAAGGGAGAACCAAAAGAATATGAACATATATGACAACACACTGTACTAAAGAATGCCCGGAAAGCTCAATGACACGTGGAGACAGACTGTTTCCATACCTGTTGACATGCTAGCACGAGTAACAGAAGAAAAATAAAGAAAACCAGTAAATCAGTTGTTTCATTTCCATAACACCAATGAGATCTGACTACCTCTATTTCAGGAATCAGTTGAATCAGCTCTTTCTTTTGGTGACCCACTGACACAGTTCTGCATGAGTGGAACAAGGAATGAGACAGAGTGTGCTAGAGAAAATAATACACCACAGGGCAAGAAGACTGGTCGTTGGTGAGGCCTCCTTGTCTGTGTTTCTAAGGACAGGATTGCACACGCCCTTTCCCTAATAACAGACACCATCTATGTCCACTGGCAAGTGAGCTGCCATTTTGAAAGCATTATAATGTCCACTTGAACTTCATAGCAACCTATGAAGTAGGATGAGTGGAGGATGTGCCATGGTCCTAGTTTTCAGACAAGAGCATTTTGATCTGAACAGGATAATGAATTAAAGACATGCATGCACTTAGAAAAGGATGGTGTCTAGATAGAACCCAGGTTCCTGCTAGGTGCATGGTAATTTATTACACGGCTCAGCAACGCTGATCATGCAAAAAGGTTTTGCCCTATTAAAAAAAATCATAAGTAATTTATATAAAAATAGGAGCAATCCAAAACATGTGATGCTGAAAAAAGTGAGCTTTAATTGCTTGCAATAATATTTTAAGTTTTCTTGATGCTGTGCAAATGTGTTTAAATTATAATGGCTTGAGAAATTGACTTAAACTCACTCTTTAGAAAAGTAAGGCCATGACAAGCCAAGTCAGGAAATTAAAATTTAAGGCTGTCATTCTGTGGTTACCGAAAAGAGGAAAGTGAGTGAGTAAAAAGCATATGAATATATTTTTTACACTTGGGTTTTAAATAGGAATAAAAGGAAATTACAATTTAAGAGAAAAATACAGAAGTTCAGAAGGCTTATAACTTAAGTACAGTTTCAGATCTACTAATAAAAATGTCGATCTTAAGAAATGCTTGGTAGTAAAATGTATTTATTTAAAAATGTAAAGCAAATTGAAAGCATATTGAGAAAAATAGGCACCTCTTTTCTTCTTACCAAGGAGGGAGTGTGTGTGTGTGAATGTGTGTGTGTGTGTGTGTGTGTTGTGTTGTGTGTGTGTGTGTGTGTGTTGTGTGTGTGTGTGTACGCCGCAGGCTCTTTCAGGATAACTTTTGAACAGCTCAGGCTTTCTAGGCTGAATTTGTACTTCCACACTGTGATCATTTTTGAGCTTTTAGACTCCATTCTCTACCCCCACACAACGTGAGGAGAATGGTCCAAGGTGAAAATCTCACATATTTTAAGCTACACAAAAGACATGTGTCTCAGAACATTTATATTATGGTTCCCTGCCTGCTTTTATAATTTAAAATGAAAGCACCTTAACAACAAACAAGAAAACCAATAATTATAAGATTATGTAGCTGCCGCAAACTACTTTTGGCAAATATTCAACATAAATAATGTTATTTGTGCATAATGGCTAATAATTGCCACTATTTACGGATTCTAGTTTATGTGTTAGGAGATACATGGAGAGTTCTGATTTATAAAGTTTATTGCTTCTCAATGCACGTAAGAAATAGGCATATTTAGTACCCTGACTGGTCTCTACAGACATTTCCCACTAAAATGGCCAACCTTGGGGAAATGGTTGGTTTCTAGCAAGGGAGGAAGAAATGTGGCTATTAAATTAAAGCCATTTGAATGAAATAAAATGGAAAATTCTGTTCCTCAAAAGCACTAGTCACACATGACAGCAGCATATGGAACATTTTCATCATGGTATAGGTTCTTTTGGACAGGACTGGTCAAAAGATTAAGAGAAATATAAGAGACTTAAACACCAAATGCAACCTGTGAAACAGGTTGATCAAACAAACAATAAAAATATTCTTTTCTGAATTCGTGGGGAAATTTAAATATAGCCCAGGTATTAGAATATCAAGGAAGCATTGTTAATAATGTCATCATCATAGTATTAAGATATATATAGAAATGATCTTACTTTTAGAGATACATGAGAATAAAATGTTGCATTGTCTGGAATTTTAGAATGCTTCATAAAAAATGCATGGAGTATATATGGCAAAGTGTTAGTAATTATTAAATCTAACTCATAGAATATTTGCTATACGTCAATGTATGTTTGAGATATAATGAACTGGTAAACACATAGCTTCTTGCAGTTCTAGTTTTTAAATATCACATGTATTTACACATATCTCTGTATAAGCATGTGCATTTATATGTACATGAAAAGCTGAACCTTAAGGCCCAGTATCTGGGCCTCAATAACAGTAATTGGTTGTGTAAAGTGTTACTGCCATAATAAAGCCAGGGATGATTAAAACTGAAATGACAGAAGCCAGATTGCACAATTATGTAGTCTTCAATAAACTGTTCTTATATCTAAGGAAAGTTATTTAGACAATTAAATGGATAGATAATAGTTATATAACACTGCACTATTACAAATAGCAAATATTTTAGAAGTCTCAAAATTTTAAAATACTGTAGGAGTCATATTTGGTTATTTTAATTAAGAGCACTATGATAAAAATATGTAGTTTGCTAAAATCTCACTTAATATTGGACTTATTGTTAGTGTAAATAAAGTTTATAGAAGTTAAATGTACATAAAGTACTTTTAAATCAAATAGCCACATCATTTAACAAAGGCACAATATGTTCAATAATACCATCCATGGGAGATCTGCCTCATTAGATCAAAATATTAATGGATACATATGATAAAGCACTGTTTTAAACAAACAAAATTACCAAATTGAATAAAAACCTATATATTGTTGAACTAGGATTATATGAAGTATAGGTAATATGTGTTAAATATTTAGAATTATTTGATGCATTTTTCAATTTTTATCATAAAAGTGTGAAGCGTTTTAGAAATCACTGTATTTCTATGGTATCTGAAACTAGATCTCTATGCCACAAAAACAAAGGAGATATTTGGTGTGTAGGATTCATTCAACAAATATTTCTTAAAATGAATTGGTTACCTATTATAACAGGTTATTAAAGTAAATCTGAGCAGTGTAAATCCATAAATCATATAGTGCAGACAGAAATATTGACTCTAAAATTAACTTTCAGGTCTCAGTTATTCAGTTTAGTAGAACTGACAAATACCACTTTCACCGATGGATATACATAGCTGGCTTAATCTTAATATACAGATGTCAGAATTGCTAGAGTTCCAGATAGGACTTGTTAACATGCTGGAAATATACTATTTAATAAAGAGAGGAAATGCTAATTGACCCTCTCGCCATTGCAAAGATGGCAGCACCCATAGCTAATAAGGAGGGAATATGCTAATTGAGTGCCACACCCTCAAATATAGCGGTACCTGCAGCCACAAGATGGCGGCATCCAATTCAGTCAGCACCACTGGGGTGCCTGCCTTTGGAATCTCCCCAGCCCCCTCAACCCCCCAGCTGCCCAGGCCTGGCCCAAGGCACAGGCAAGCCTCAGATGGCAGCTGCCAGGCCGCCCAGGGCCACCTGAGACTCAGGCAGCCAGGGCCAGCCAAGGCTTGTGCTGCTGGCAGTGGCAGCAGCAGAGTTGTGATGGGGCATTGCCTTCCCCTGATCGCTGGGTTGCCTCTCACCCCTGAGGGCTCCTGAACTGTGAGAGGGGGCAGGCTAGGTTGAGGGGTAATTCTCATGCACCAGGCCTCTAGTAGATTAATAAAACAGAGCTACTACCTAATTTTGAATTTCAAAAGTAAGTAATGTTTTCTTGAAATAAAATATAAATATACTGATAATAAAGTTCCATACTGAGTTTTGAATGTATGTTCCATACATTCAGTAGCAGGTTAGCCCCATGATATTGACACCTGACTTTCTTATTCTCATAGTTAAATATGTCATTTTTTTTTTTAGCTAGCTCATTTCAAACTCCATTTAAACTCTAAATAACAGCTTGAGCTGATGGCTTAGTGATAGAACATAAAAAAAAAAATTTTCAGAACAAAAAGTAAACTATACCAAAGAACTTTATAGAATTTTTAAAAGCAGAGGAGATATTGACACATGTGTAATATATGATCTTAGTCTCAGATACAGTAAGAAATGTTTCATCTCATCATGCATTGGGAACCTGCTCTAATAAAAATGTCCAGCATGTCTCATATGAGTGGCAGCAAGGAATTTTTAACTTTTTGAACATACATTTTTATTGATTTCAGAGAGGAAGGGAGAAGGAGAGATAGAAACATCAGTAATGAGAAAGAATCATTGATCAGCTGTGTCCTGCATACCCCACACTGGGGGTTGAGCCTGCAACCCAGGCATGTGCTCTGACTAGGTATTGAACCCTGACCTCCTGGTTCAAAGGTTTATGCTCAACCACTAAGCCACAACAAAGTTTTTATATCAAAAGTTGTTTAAAAGTACCGTTCCTCTATGTCTAAAAACTCTGATCAAAGGATTGATTATCGACCAATGGACTGATTGACTGATTGTCAAAGTGGACTTTACTTCAGTAGCTCACAGGGTCCTCCTCACCCCAGATTAAAGAGGAGTCCTGATTGGGGTTGGATAGTCCATCTCAATTGTTGCCAGTTGCACCCAGCCCTGGGTAGGGGGAGGGACAGGCTCTGCCCAGCCCTCACCCCTAGGGAACGACTTTTAAGATACCAATGTTGGAATGGTAATTACCTGCAAGGGACTTGCCAGGGACCTGTTTTTAGGTACTGTGAAAGCTTTGAGGACATTGTCTTCATCTTCTGATACTGGCGTCATTAAAACGGAACTTGTAAGAATATTCTAAAAAAAAGAGAGAATAATTTGAAATTCAAGTGAAGTTGGATAATATGAAAGCCAACACAATTCTGACACTACAGTGAGTAGACTGCTATGAGATGATACACATTAGAGGGGGGAAATGCAGGTATCTGCCAGAAATTATCTTCTCAATGAGCAAAAAGGAGAACTCAACTATGTACTAACCCCAATCCCACTGCAGCCAATATCAATAAGAAAAAAAGCTAGGCATGACTTAGGCACTCAGAAAACATCTACTAAATAAATTATTAAATACATCTTTAAAAATGAAAGTTTTACTAATCTCTAGTAAGTGAACTGCTTATTTTATGTATTGACACAAAAATATTTCAGAGGTACAAATTAGTAGCAGTATACTACAATGGTTAAAAGTATGTAATTTAAAAGTTTTAACCCTGAACCCCACTTATTAGCTGTATGATCCTGAACAAGTGACTAAGTCTCCCGGTGCCTCAGTTTCTCAGCTGGTATAATGGAAATAATGTTATCAACCTTGTAAGGATGTGGAGAGCATTAAATGAGTTAATGTATCTAAAGCTCTTAGAATAGTACTCATCACTTTTTTATTTTTTAAATATATTTTATTGATTTTATACAGAGAGGAAGGGAGAGAGACAGAGAGTTAGAAACACGGATGAGAGAGAGTCATCAATCAGCTGCCTCTTGCACACCCCCCACTGGGGATATGCCCGCAACCAAGATACATGCCCTTGACCAGAATCTAACCCGGGACCCTTCAGTCCCCAAGCCGACGCTCTATCCATTGAGCCAAACCGGTCTCGGCAGAATAGTACTCATCACTTTGTGCGCATTGAAAGAATATTAGCCATTGTTACTAGCTTTGATTCATCGTAAAGGACAATCATTTACAAATTGGAAACTTTAAAAAATGGTGGTAACTGGTGCTAAAAAAAAAAAGAAATGAGCCTTCAAGCCATGAAAAGACACGAAGGAAACAAAAGCACATATTATTAAGTGAAAGAAGCCAGTCTAAAAAGGCTACATTTTGTAAGATTCCAACTATATGACATTAGGGGGAAAGGCAAAACCCTGGAGACAGTAAAAAGATCCGTTGGTTGCCAAGGGCTGAGGGGGAAGAAGGGACAAATAGGTGGAGCATAAAGAATTTTTAATGAAACTACTCTGTGTGATACTATAATGGTGGGTACATGTCATAAATTTATCTAAACCCATAAAATTTACAACACCAAGAGTGAGCCCTGATATAAACTATGGACTTCGGGTGATAACTGTAACAAATGTATCATTCTAGTGGGGGAGGTTGATAATGAGGGAGACTGTGCATGTGTGGGGACAGTGCGTTTATGGGAAATCTCTGTTCCTTCTGCTCAACTTTGCTGTGAGCCAAAACTACTACAAAAAATAAAATCTATTTTAAAAAATGGTGGTAACCAAAGCAATCCAGTATAGGGTGCAATAAAGGGCATCGACTATAGACACTATAACACTATGCCACATGCTACACAGAATCAAGCAGGTGACAACTTAACAAGGAAATATTACATTTAAAAGGCAGATAAACAAAATGAAAAGAAAATTTAAAAATTAACAATCTGTTTTCATGGAAAATGCCTATGTTCATACAGCAGATTTTTTAAATGGCAAGGACTTTCAAATCCTAAGAAAAAAAATAATGACAAAGTCTGCAGTGGAATAGAATCTATTTCCAATATTTAAACAAAACCTCTACTTTATACTCAACATTAATAACTGTAAGAAAAATGTTCATGAAAGAGAATATTCCGATGACGCATTGAGGAGTGCTGAAACCACAGTAGCCCACGTGCCACACACAGAATCCTGTGCGCACCAACATCTCATCCCATGGACGTGTACTTACTGGCACGTCTGCCACAGGTGATGCCTGTGTGAACAGCTGAGTGTTCAGACTCTCCCCTTCCCAGTGGTTGGAGCAGAAGAAGTTTCCTGCTTTATCAGTTGGAGATTCCACCTAAAAGCAAACAGGAAGTGCTTTGTTGTTTCTAGAACCAGAATTTCCCAGAAAACAGCTCTACTCAAGGGTAAATTTCTGTAAAATGAATAGGCTCTGAGAGGCTCATGTGTAGCATGGTAACTGTAGTTGATGTCACTGTATTGTATAATCGAAATCTGCTAAGGAAGCAGGGTTGAAATTTTCTCACCTATAAGGGCAAATATGTAAGGCGAAGGATGTGTTAACTAACTCAATGAGGGAGTATCCTTTCACAATGTATACATATATCAAATCCTCACGTTGTACACTTTAAACAATTTACAACTTTACTTGTCAATTACATCTCAATTAGGCTGAAAACGAGTGAATGTCTAGCCAGTCTCCTACTCATTTATCCTTATATGAAAATAAATTCAAAAGGCACCATATCTAAGCTGTTAGAAACGTTTCTTGCTACCAAGCTCAAACTTCAATCTTGCAATTTAGATTCTCTTTCTTTTACACCATGAATTAAAGATACTATTATTTTAATTTCAGTTTTCCATGACATCTGAAAATTAAATATATATGTGTCAATAATCTCTCTATGTAGCCAGAGACAAAAATAAGTAAAAAGCTCCTTCCTTCTCATTCCTTTATCCTCTCCAGCATGTTTTTTGTTCAAACATGAAGTAGATAGAAGTGGCTTGGCTCCCCAAATGACAGGCCACATGTCTGCAGTCTGACCCCAGATCTGAACTGCCTCTGGTATGAATACCTTGGTAGGAAAAGTGGTATTGTTCCACAGTGATGATGCAGACTCGTCAATAAGGAACAAAGGGAACAGCATTCGCAGCCTATTCCTTTCAAAGGATCGCAAGCTTACCTCTTGTTTGATCTTCTTCAGTAAAGGTCCATTTCCTTGAAACTCGGTGACAATTCCAGATTCATCAGATTCCTGTTTGATCACATCCTGCAGATCTTCTACTAGATGAGATGGTGTCTGAGGCTGAAGAGAAGAGTGGGCATGTTTGCATCAGAGGAAAAGTTCTGCCTAAACTAACAAACCAACTAACCCAAGAATTTTGCAAACACTTACTAGCATCTTCAGGGGGCCATATTTCATTTCTTGAGCTGCAAGTGCATGTTTAAATGGTGTAGGGGTTCTGGGAGAGCTTTCTAGGATTGACTTTTTGATAGCTGGAGTTCTGAAACTTTAGCAAGAAAACAAGTGTTGGCTCAATGCACAAGAACGTATATCCCTCATACTGCTCTCCCTATTACATTTAATATTTTTCTACGTAATAAAAGACTATGTTATTGGTATGGAATTGGGTATGCTGATTAATCACACAAGTATTGTTTAAAAAAGAAAAGAGATATTATGTGCATCCATCATTCTGAAAACACATGTACTGCCTGCTCCTGGTTTTCTATAATGATCATAAGCATTGTGAAGATCTGATGTCATTTACAAATACATTTCACCTATTATTAAAACAGGGCCCACAGTAGAAAACATGTTAATATTTTAACCTTCTTATAAGGTGAAAGGCTGATTATAACTCATATTGATGTTCTCTGCCTTTTATTTGAATTGGTTAAGCCTTTATTAAATATAAATGACTGCTTAATCACTTCTATAATCTCTCTCTCTATAAAAGCCTAAGGGACTGAACAACTGAACAACTGGTTGACCAGTTGCTGTGATGTGCACTGACCACAAGAGGGCAAATGCTCAATGCAGGAGCTGCCCCATGGTAGTCAGTGTGCTTCCACAGTCAATGACCTGCAACTGGCCAATATCCCAGGGCCAGCTGTCTCCCCCCAGCCCCCTCATGGCCCATTGGCCCCAATTGCCAGCCAGGCCAAGGGACCCCACCTGTGCAAGAATTTGTGCACCGGGCCGCTAGTACTATCATATAATATTACTGGGGGTGTCAGAAGCAGTCCTAATATATATAAATTTCAAAAGAAAAAATAAGATTAAAAAATATGAACTAAAAAGAACTATTCTCATTCTTATTCTGAAGTGTTTAATCAAAGAGAAAAGGAGGCTGAAAATGTTATTTTCAGTGAAGAAGAAAAGGCCTTATTGAACAAACAAAAAAACTGAATGGAAAAAGTTATATAAAAACTACCTCTGCATATATGGGAAAATTTGAGGTAAACTACAAAAATTAATTTAGTTTATCCTCCCACCACCTACCTATGGATAGTTATAAAAGGCCCAGGGCACATATTCAATGTGGAATATACATTATTAAATACACACAAGTGAACCCATAATATTATACACATTCAAATAAATCAGGGTTGATGCCAGACACTGGGGACTATATTGAGACATTGGAGACTATATATTCTCTTAACTGTAAGTAAATAAGATCAATAATTTTATTCTTGAACCAAGAACTTACATAGTATTTTCCTTTTGTGCTTTCACAGTCTGGTCTCTATGAAATGGTGTTGTAACAGTCAGTTTGTGACCACTGAGAGGGGTGGCAGTTAAAGAAGGCATTTCCAAGTCTAAGTTTTCATGATTACTGGAGGTGTTTAAGAACTAAATATGGGAAGAAAAAAATTATTTTAATCAAACAGTCATTCTTTATTGATCCAAATTTAAAAATCACACTGTGATAACAAGCAAATATGTTTTACTGACCCACCATATAAAATAATAAAGATGCTAACAACATGCATTGTTGGACAAGGGTATCATTTTATGTTAATTGAACACCAATATTTGGAGTCTGATTTAAAAAAACAAAACAAAAAACAAAAAACCACCAAAATCTAGGGTCATTGCTGGAAAAATTGCAAAATCCCAAGAAAATATTCTCAATAAATGACATTTGCCATTAAAGAAATAAGATGCACTCTTCATGAAGATTAAAAGTGTTACAGTGATTTGGGGAAAGTAATGATTGTTTTTCTCTTATACTCTGTTGTCTCTCTCTCTTTAATGATCATTGAGCCATTATTATAGAAGGCTTACATTAGGTGGAACATTTTTAATAATAAACTGTCTCTCAGAACATTAATGATCTAGGACAGTGGTCGGCAAACTCATTAGTCAACAGAGTGGCAAACCGCGTCTCGAGAGCCACATGTGGCTCGTGAGCCGCAATTTGCCAACCACTGTTCTAGGAAAGTAATAGGTGTTCCTCAAACAGTTCCAAGGTAAAATAAATTTGGGAAACACACATATCATAATCTCCTCCTGGACATTCACAATGCACATCAATGTATTAAAAATCAATCTCTAACTTAGCTTGAATCAGTGTTTCCCAAACTTATATACTTTACATGTGGATGTATTCCTGGAACATCTATCCAAAACTTGCAGAATGAATATTATCTAGAACACAATTTGGAAAATGCAAGCAAAAAGCAAGATACATTGTTTTGGTGAGTGCATCATATTTGTTCATACTTAAATCTATTCTTAACACTCAATAGACATTGAAAAAATGTTTTAAAATGCCAAATTATCTATTAATTTCAATTATTTTAATAATTAAGAAGGCAAGTTTTTGAAAAGGAGTATAATTTCCATGCCTTTAAATATTACTATATGAAATAAGAATATTTATTGGCAAAAAAAACACCTATGCTACTAAAATCTTATGGCATAAATCAATATGCCATAATTTGAGAAATTAAAATTAAAACATAAATTATTTTACTTAAGCATTTGTCCCTCATCCTCTTCCCAAACTTTTTCACTTAAAGATGGAATGGAACCTTTAAAATTTCTAGTTGCAACCCAAGCATAGTTTGCTTCCTTTCATCCTTGGGTCAGTGAATCACATAAGTGAACAAAGAGGCAGAAGGGAAGTGAAGGGAAGGGAGTGAAGGGAAGGGAGTAGAGAAAAGGATAGAAATGTTAAACTCTAGTAGTGGAAGAAATAATAGCACACCTCATGCAACTAACCATCTTTCAAATCACCCAAAAGAGAGAATTATGACAAAAATCATTAGTCAATGTTCAGACAGCTTGAACTTTGGGAGGCAGTATGACTTAGCAACAGCTAGATTCAACAACGAATGAAATCAGTGAGGGTAAAAATAATTAGTCATATATTCCAAAGGATTAGTTTCTAGATTATTAAGGCTTGATTGTCTGTTGGAAATTAGTAACAGCTATGCAGAAACTGTGCTCTACCTGCGAGGGGGAGAAGGACAGGCTTTTGACAGGGGATGGACTTGGAGTTGAACTGCTGACGTCAGCAAATGTGAAGGACCTAGAGTCTCCAGTGGCTAAGGGGCTGGCCTGGCGCCTCTTTGTTCGAAGGATGACCAGCGGAATTGTGCTGTGCCTTGCAGGCGGTAGGGGCTTGAGCAGGCCAAGTGAACCCTCGCTCAACGTGCGTTTACTAGGCTCTCTTGCGGGTCTATTCACATTGCCCTCTCTTTTCTGGAGCTGTAGGGCTTTGCCTGCATGCTGTTGGCTAGGTGAAAATTCTGCTTCTTCAAAGAGTTCAAAATTGCTGAGGTCACACCATGATGAAGAATCCTGAAAAAATGTAGGAGGCGCAGAACTCTGAGACAGTGTGTGCATGGTATGTGCCATCACCTGAAACAGCACTGAGAAAGAGATGCTGAACGCAAAGAAAACACCTGCCAGGCCCCCTAGTCAAACATCTTCAGGATTAACAATGGTTCTGATACACGGCTGGTCCTACATGAGCGATGCAGGGACCTCTGGGTACTCCAGCATTTGCATGCAATCCAAAGCAAAAGGAAACCTTTTTCTAGATGCACACTTGGCAATGTTTATCCCCTGTCTCATGAGGAGTGATTGGAAGCTGAACTGCAAGAAAGGCTTTTTCACCACTGGGAAACAGTGGAAATGAACGGAGTGTCTACTTCTGTTTCACCGAAGGTGGTTTGTCTCAGTGAATCAAATGAGACTGGTAATCAATAATCAATGTTTTGTGGAGAAAGCCATGCACCACCAATGAACTTACTACCACTTCAAATATATTGAAAGATTGCTCTAAGCTCTGAGCAAACATAATTCTGAATGAGCTGTCCAAAAGCAAGGCACAGTTCTAGAGAAACACAAGGGAGGAAATAAATTAAAAAATAAAAGAGATCACTCAAACATTCCCATAACCCAAGCTCTACTTTTAGGTGATTAACTTCACTATTTTTTTAAAAAATACGCATTTTCAAGGAAATGTGTGAATAGCTAGCTTTTATCTGGGTAGCCTATGAAATCAGATCTTTGAAAAAAAAATACACACAAAAACTAAAATAACATTTTACCTTTACATTAATATATGTTAATTACATGATCGTTGCTCTAGAAAATGGCAATGATTTGAGAAATGGGTGTTCTCACTCCCCTTCTAACGACATTAGCATGCCTGAATAATCTACTTACAGAATCTATAAATTGAAGTGTTTCTGCAAATTCTAAGAGGTTCTTAACATTATCCAGAATGGCTCCTTGGTGGACGATCATGCACCTCGCAGGAGAGGCGCTTTCTTCAGGTAAGCAGCCAGGATCCACCGGCAGAGATGGCGTGGAGTGGTGCTCTTCCAAACAGGAAACAGGTGCACTGTCTCCATGAGGTCTGGTGTGGTCGGCGATGGCGGTGCTGTGCCACCCGGGGTAGCTGCATGTGTGGTTCTGTGTCTACGGAGGGGGGTGGTGGTGGGGGAATAAAGAAAGAGCGGGGAGAAGAAAGGGAGAAGGAACTTAGCAATGAAGTTGCACAAGGTATCAGATGCTGTTGGAGGAAAGATAAAAGTAGTTGCATCATCCAGAACTTGCGCCTATAAAACAGTTGTCAAGATGTTTCCTTTTATCAATGCAAGACCCTGCTTTTTAGTAATGGGGTAGTCTGCCATCTACACGGTGACCTTAATTGTCATTCTTTTTGTTAAAAATGCAAAACAGGGGGACTATGTGACAAAGCACAGCTCTCACACGAAGTTAAAAATCTATCAACATAATTTCCAAGAGGACCATACATGTTTGCTGTGAATGAAGAATTCTCTTATTCTTTCTGACCTACATAAAGGCTGGAGAATGCAAAAGTCAGAGTTGCCTTTCTCAGCACATATTCTGGTTGCTCCTACCCCCTTCTAAGGCAAAGGATTGCACCGGTGCAGAGAAGAGTGCCAAATCAACGTGGTTAGGAAAGCAGAAGAGCAAATTAACAGAAGTCTCCTTTCAGCATGACCACGAAACAGGAGAAATTGCAAAACACTTGAGTTAAAAAGTGGTCGAACTAACCTAAGCACATAATAATTATATTGTTTCACCAAAAAAGCTTTTACTCCTAAGAATACCTACTCAGGATCACATCTCTTTTATTTACTTGGCTGGTTAATTACATACGTTACAAATTACAAGCTGCTTTCCCAGTTTGCTGCTCAATCACTAAAAAAAGATGTCAACATTCAGCAATGGTTCGCATGGCTTCCACATATGCAAACAAAGGAGAACAGTTAATGTTATTCATGGAGAGAGTATATGCATCTTTTTCATATGTATACACTGAACCTGCACCAAATCATGTGTGAAATAATAAAGTACGAAAATCTAGGTTAAGAAACATCATAAAGAAAAAAAAAATGAAGTGAATAGGCATCATACAGATACAAAACTTCGTAAAAAATAGTTTCATTCATTTTATCTTTGATAGTCTTCGAATTAATTCCAGTCCTTCTAAAGAAAAAAAAAATCAATGATGACATAGATGTTGAGTTTCTATTGCAACATAAAAGGACTACTTCCAAGTTAGTCAGCATTCTTATACCAACTGGGTTTTATTACCCCAAACTTCTCATGTTTCAATGTCACTAATGGATATAGAGAGTCTTGACTGTGTAATATTTAGGAGAGAAGGAAAAAGATACAGAAGAGCACTGGGGTATGGCCACTCTCCTCCCATTTCAGCCCACGGTGACATTCTTACCGGTAGTGCCTGCTGTCCTTTGAGCTCATTCTCAGTTGACATTAGGAGCAACTCTAATTCCTTTATTCGTTTTTCTTTCTCAGGGTCTTCATCATTATAGTGTCTCTGAAATTAGAAGTTGAGAGGGGAAAAAAGAAAAGGGCCTGAATGGACACTGTAAACACAATGGTTGTGGCCTGTAGTCAAGAGGGAGGGAACACACAGCCCAAAGAGCCTGGCTGGGAAACCAATACCAACTGAATTGGGCCACTCTAGAAGTGAAGACTGGTAGATGGCTGGCTGGAGCTCCCCCACCTCTCCACTTGTCCCTGCTTTTTTTTTTTTTTTTTTAACTTCAGTTGGTCAGGTGACAGTATGTGTTTAGAAGAAAGAAATAAAGCATGTCTCAAAAATGGCGCCTTAAGCAGCTAGTGAGATTCTTTAGGAGATGACCTTAAAATGGTCTTACCTGAATGGCTGCAGCAGCAGGCTGTGGAACATTGACTATATTGACATGTAATGCGACAGGATATGGGACATGACTGGAGACCTAGCCACAAAAAAGGCAAAACAAAGGACGAATCATTCATGGTTACATATGCTTCAGGGCACTTGGCTTGCTCGAGGACTGAGAAAAAGAATAGTTCACTGATCAAATTCACTAAGCATTATTAAACACACACACACACACACACACACACACACACACTCCTCTAATTTGAAATTTTAGCCTGGCTTTTAATAATGGCTAAATAGCTAAAGCAACATAGGGGGAAAAAAAATTTTTAAGTGCTCATCATTGATCCCAACAGGAAGTATCCCTTAAAGAAAAATACATGTGAATATATTCATAAATACATGAAAGGAGTTTTGGTGGGAAAAACTCATAGCACTAGCTATTTATAAATAAAAACATTTCTCTGGGGATAATAGGAGTTTTAGTAAGTAGCACAGAACTGCTTAAGATCGTTCATTCACCTGAGACCTTTCTGGAAAGTCTGTAGTCAAATACATGTCAAAACTCTTCACAAATATGCTTTGCCTAGAATTGCATATAAGCTCTGTATTCTTGGGTAAATTTCACTGTTTCTTATTGTTAATATAAAGATAAAAGCTTCTTGCTTTTTTTTCCCTCTTTATTCTTCTCTTTCCACCACTAAGAATATTTCTTTCCCTAAGTATAATATCATGAAATGAAAAAGGAAGCACACTGATTCAGGAAGGATAAAAGGAGACACAAGAGAATAGTGTCACAAAACTGCTCCTGAGTCCTGGTTGGGGAGGGCATCATCCCCACCCATATGCCAAGGTTGCTGGTTTGATCCCTAGTCAGGGCCATACAAGAATCAACCAATGACTGCATAAGTCAGTAGAAAACAAATCCATGTTCTCTTCTTTATCTCTCTCTCTCTCTCTCTCTCTCTCTCTCTTTCTCTCTCTCTCTCTCTCTCTTTCTCTCCCCCCTCCATCCCTCCCTCCTTTCTTTCTCTAAAATCAATAAATAAAAATTAAAAATTAAAAAAAAATTGCTCCTGCTTGGAGTATGAAGGTAAACACAGAATAAATAAATTAGAGCATTTCTGTTACATCACTACCAAAATGGAACTTACAATTATCTGTTAAATTTCAATACTGAACTTTCTGCTCTTTAAATATAATATTATGTTCACTTTCATTTTGGAACACAAAAATATTTGACTACAGCTGCACCCATATTTCCCCAGTCTTCTTCAGCTTGGTAAGTAAGTTTACATTCAAACACTAAACTCCAAATTAGATTAGAAGCAGCATCAAAATCTAACAACTTGGGTGGTAACCTACACTGTCTCTGTGAGTTGTGTAACCATGGACAAACCATTTAATGCCCTTGTTCCCAGAACCATATCAGAAAGAACAATACCTATGCCATGATCCTGTTTATGAAAGCTCTCTGAAAAGTATGCAACTACAGGATATTATTACCTGGAGCTAAAAGAACCATCTCTCTTGTTAAACAAAATTCTCGGGAAAGGCTTACATTTTGTGCTTCAGAAATGTGGTAATAGGAATAGTCATTGTTCACTGAGGGCTGTCCAGTGGGAGGAAGGTGAGCGGATGGTGGAGCATGAGCAAAGCCCATCAAATGATTGTTCTTCTGGAAACTTGTGGCCACCGTTGGCTGGCTGGCTTTGGAAGACTCCTGTAGATAACCTTCCTGCTCCACCTTCCGTCGCATTGTAGAATTCCAGTGGTTCTTGATAGCATTATCAGTTCTGCACAGAAATATATCACATACAAATTTCACAAACAAAAACTTCTATTCAGATTAGAGTTAATTGACAGAAAACTGTTCCTAACAGAGACCTTTTCTTTTGACCCACTAATAGTGTCATTTCTTTTTTAATCATTTCAGTCTTTTCTACCTCCTATGCTTTCCCTATTACCTAATTTAAATTCCATACATTTCTCTTAATTACATAATATGGAGCTGTGGTTTTCTATAAATATTGAAATTTTTAAACCATTTGTTTCCTTGGTAGGAGTATTTTCAATACAACTACCTTTCATATCTATTCTGACTGGTATAAGACTGAAATTAAAGTACCAGCTGTCCTAGAAAATTAATCCTTTGATTTGGCTTAGTGGGGGCTACTCAGACATCACAACAGATCCTCAGTAAAGTTGGGTGAATGATAATGATGCTATTGCCACCTCACTGTCCTCTCTTGATCGTCAATAGCACTGGCCAGATATTTTGAGTAAAAAAAACTCCCATCTTTTGAAAACCATTTCAAATTATTCTGGTAACCAGACAGAGGTGAGAATGGAAAACGGGATCCAGAAGGGAGAAATGCTAACTCCCAATGTATTTTCAAACTGCAAAGCATTTTTTACTAAAGTGTTTCAATTCTTAGGAAAACAGTTTCTCAATTTTAAAAAACCGTTTTTAAAAGCCTCCCTTTTACTATTTCGATGGGGGTGGGGAATGTATGCTAAAGAAAGAGGAAGTTCAATCGCCCCTTAAATTTTTAGAAGAATCAACAGCATATCCTCTCAGACCATATGGGAGAGAAGGCGTCCTTTTATCAACCTCCCGAATTCTCCAAGCTCACAGTGAATCACAAGGAGGAAATGCCTTGGAACATCACAAGAGAGCACCAGATAAACTATCAGGGCCATGCCTTCTTTGAAATGACCCTTTCACTTTTGAATTATAAAGCTCAAGAATAAAAGTATTTAAAATATCTTGTCTTGCATATTTTTATGTAAGCTGCCCCCCCAAAAAAATCTGTTATAACTGTTTAAATAGGGAAAGTGGCAAAAATGAGCTTCCATATATTTCCCTCATAATGAGGTCATTTTTGTGTCTCTTTCATTACAAAGGATAACACTGACATTATTTAAAAACCTGGAAGCGGTATGATAATTCTATAACTATACTATTTCTTTCTTTAAAAGAGAAAAATTAAGCCTCGTGGTAGAATGAAATGCTGGTATCAGGAAGATGATGGGAGGTTCTTCTGGTCACTTAGCAGCTATGTGAACTTAGAGCAGGGACAAACTGTTTAGCTCAGTTTCCTTCCATATGTTTAGAGTTTTGTAGTTTACAATGTGCTTTGACATGGATTTTCTTGACATTCACACTTGCCCTGTGAAGTAAGTTATTATTCTTTTTAAAAGTGGGGAAAGTGAAGCTGAGGAAAGTCCAATGACTTGGCTCAAGGCTCACGGTTGGATGGATTCTGGAAGTACTCAACCAGATAAACTCTAAGATGTCCTCCTGTTCTAAAAGCTATGGATCTGGTTTAATGAATGAAACTCGATCGATGGAATGTAATTCACTCACCATACATTTAAAAACAGACTGTTCAATAACCACTCCCCCATTCTTCCCAATCAATATATTTTTTGACATATTATTACCGTCCAGGCAGTAGTTTTGCGATTTCTGCCCATCTGTTCCCCAGTCTCTTGTGTGCCTGGTAAATAATTCTGTCTTCCTCTTCTGTCCAGGAGGTTTTCTTAACTTCTGGATTCAAGTGGTTATGCCACCTCTCCCTACATTGTTTTCCAATTCTCCCCTTTAAGTGCTTGGCAATAACAGACCAACGTTTCGGACCGTATTTCTGTACAAGCTCTATCACCTTCAGATAAACACACAAAAATAACCTATGTTTTAATGTTATGTAATGAGTCAGTGTAATCATTCTGTTATAAGATCTTTAGAAAATTTCTAAAAACCTGCTTTCATTCATTTAAAATATGGAAACAGAATTCCTCTGCTTCCTGTTTGCACACTTTACCTGTTTCTTCAAGTTGGGAGACATTCAAGGAAGTAGTCTGAGGAATATTCTTAATTATGACTCATATAACAATGAAGAAGGAACTTACTCGCTGATCTTCTTCTTTGGTCCAGGGACCCTTGATGAGCTCAGGGTTTAGTACTTTCTGCCATCGATGCTGGCACTGCACATCTGTTCTGTTCTAGACAAATAAGACAAAGTATGCATTGTCATATAGATATGATGTGATAAGGACACACTAAGATTTTGTTATAATATGAATCACACATAGATAATATACAGTGACAATGATCAACAACATACTAGGGAATGTTTGGAGAGCCCACCTATCCCTCATTGCTTACAGCTAAGGAACATACAAAGAATATGTCAAAGTTGCATCTAAAATGATAAGTTCTTCCTCCTGAGGGCAACAGTCCTGCCATGTGAGCAAAACGAGCATCATACTGCATGTATGGCTGTGAACCTAACCTTAACCTCGGTCTGTTGCCTAGGACTAAGACTAAGCCTGTTATGGATTCCATATTAAGGTCAGGCTTTTACGGAAACCCACTCTAGTGACTCCCATTCAAACTAAGAGATGTGCTTCAATGTAGGGCTACCAGTGTTATATTCAGAACAAAGATGAATAAAGATAGGCCCTACCTTATAAGAGGTTATAATCTTATAAGAAGGTAAAGACAAATACATAATGAATAGAAGGCAGAATTTGATTCACAGGCAAGAAGAAATCAAAGCAAAATAATATTGGGGTGGGAAAAGGAACCTCTTTAGAAGGAGAAATGATGTTTCCTTGAGAGGAGACCGGAAAAGCTCTTGTTGTGGACTTTGAAGGACGTGAAGTACCCATGCAAAACATTCTAGTACGTGGCATCACCAGGGACAAACACCCAGAGGAGGGAAAGCAGACACGAATTCAACTAAATCTGCTTACAGAGAGGAAGTCAGAAACAGAATGGAGCTGAATGTTGGGGCCATATGGGAGGACCCTGCGTGCCAGGTCCAGGCAGTGCACTTAATTTGTGAAACTAGGTTACTGTTGTTGGTTTTGAAAAGATAAGGTACAGCTGCATTTTGGGAAGCTTCTCTGCTAAAGGATAAAAAAGTGGAAAGCTCTAAGTAGGAAGCCACTATAATCATCCAGAGAAGAGGAAAGAGAGAATAGTGAAGAGAATTAAAAGACGAGTGACAAAGGAATTCCAGATCCCTTAGTCACTACTTAGATGTAGGGGATGGGGAGGGAAACAAGTCTAGAAGGACTCAGAAATTTTAAACTGAGCTACCAAAATATGGCTTTTTTTTTTTTTTTAAGGAAATTTAAAGGACGCTGGCTTGGGAGAAATATCACAAGGTCAGTCATTTACCATGTAACAAATCACCAGAGTGCTAATTTATAGTATCCTATAAATGAAAAGATATTTATATGATCTAACAAATGAAAAGATAAAATAAGAAGCAAACATTTGAAAATGTTGTAAATCCTTTAATAATAGATTCAGAAACCCCAATTATATGTATTATAATATCACTAGGTTATGGATGAGGCATTTTTCCCCCAACTTCTTATATATAGCAAATAAGTAATGTCTTAACATACTCTTCTAAAATATCTTATTTAAATTTTGGGAGATTTCCTTTTACAAAAAGAAAAAAAATTACTAACTTACCGGGAGATAATTGGCTATAACTTTCCAGTCATCTGTTCCATTCTGTTCCACCAACTTCTTTAGTTTTTCATCCTAAGACATTTAAAGGTAATCCAAGGACATCAGTCATTTACTGTAAAACACTATTCAATTTAGAGTAAAGGGGAATCAATTCAATAACCTAAGTCACACACACACAAAAAATCTCTCAAAATATCCAAAAACAACAGATAATTAATGTGGCATACTGATTTAGAGAATAGATTTATTTAGAGTTAGAGAGACCAAAGACTGAACCTTGACTCATCTATTAATTACTTGTATAAGCTTGATCATATCATTTTGCTTTTCTGGGCCTTAGTAATTGTCATCTATATAACGGGAATGCTGATGTCAACAGGGTTATTTGGGGATCATATGAAGTAACTATGCAAAACATTTAGCATAATACCTGGCTCATTGAATGTTTAAAACATGGTTACTACTAAAGTTTTACTCTGTGGGGGGAAAAAAGAACTCCAATGTTAGATTAAAGGCATTTAACTAGACATGGCAATAGATAGGATCTCAAGTAAGAACTAGCTCAACCACCATTCTAACATTTAGTTATTTTAACCCCTTACAAATAAAAAAAAATGGAAGATCGCTTTTCTTAATTAAACTTAAAGATATGTTGATGTAAGGAAAGTCATTTAGTTTTTGTATCCAGATATGCATAATTTAAAGTTATTACAATAGAAAACAGAACTTAATAAAACAAACTTTTTAGAACATAGAAGACACCAAACATCAGTGGGAAATCTTTCGGTTCACTCTTTCTAAATATGATCTACCAAGTGAAAGAGAGCCCTCACATTTTTGCACAGATAACTTCACATATGATGTGGATCCCTGATATGACACAGACATGGGAATGAGGGAACCAGTGTTAGCAATAGAACTTCAGTATGTTTAAGAATCACCTAAGTCAAAATCTCCATAAGTAAATTATGTATTTCCTATGGACCTTACTGGAAATCCTGCCTGCCTAACAAGAAGAGTTCTGGTTTATGTGAGCAGGGTGGAATGAAACTGCAGAAAAGCCAATACTATTAATTTTAACATAAAATCTTTTAAAAAAAATCAATTGTAAAACTTTTGAAACTTCAAAGAAAAAGCAACTTTTCCTTTACACTAATAATTTTCTCCTTAAATATTTTTTTCATTCCTACAAAGATCAAGCTTTCAATAAGCTATCAGAAAAAGGTAAGCAGATCTATCTCCTTCCATTATTGATGGCTTTTTAAAAAATCTTTATTGTTGAAAGTATTGCAAAGGTCTCTTTTTTTCTCCTCCAGCTCTGTTGACCCCCTCCACTCCACTCCTAGCCCTTCCTCAGTCCTTCTCTGCACTATTGTTTGTCCATGGGCCATGCATATATGCATATAATTATTTGGTCAACCTCTCTCCATCCACTACTCCCAAAATAAGTCAATCTGTTGCATGTTTCAATGTGTCTGGATCTGTTTTATTCATTAATTTATTTTCTTCATTAGATTCCACATATAAGTGAGATCAAGTAATAGTTGTCTTTCTCTGATTGGCTTATTATACTTAGGATAATAAGTATTATTATTATTAGTCTCCAGGTTCCTCCATACTGTCTCAAAGGGTAAAAGATCCTTCTTTTTTATAGCTGCATAGTATTCCATTGGGTAAAGGTACTAGTTTTTTTTGTTTTGTTTTTTTAATCCATTCATCTACTGATGGGCATTTGAGCTACTTCCAGATCTTACCTATTGTAACCAATGCTGCTATGAACATAAGGGTGCATATATTCTTTCTGCTATGAACACACGGTGCATATATCCTTTCAGGCTTCTTAGGATGTATTCCTAGCAGTGGGATCACTGGGTCAAATGGTAGTTTACCTATTGTTTTTTGAATAATTTCCATGTATAAGGATCTGTGAAATACTATAGATAATATTTCAAGAATGTTAAGTGAATTCATTAAAAACAAGTTCTATGAGGTCTTTTTTTACTCTTTTGTTTGTTTTGTTTTTGGAAATAGCAATCCATCTATTTGTTCAGGGAGCATTTGTTAATAGTCCACTTTGTGTTAAGCACTTCTGGGTTCAAGGACCACAAAAATGAACAGATATATAGCTCTGCCCTCAGTAGACTTGTCGCCTCCTGAAAGAGGCATATATGTTACAGCAATAATAAGAACATGTGTCCAATGATTGCAGGATGTATCCTGGGAAAGTGAAGGATGGCTTTGCAGTAGAGGTGATATCTTCACAGGTAATGAAGAAGTAGTGAGAAGTTGTGGAGCATAAGGATAAGAACAGAATAGGCAGAAAGAAGCATAGATGAAACAAATTAAGAGGACATTCAAAGAACTATTAAAGGGGTGGATATTGATGGTATAGTGCACATATGGGGAGCAGTGAGAGGTAAATACGAGTATGCTGCACATGCAAGCTAAGATACGATTTCAAAGAGCCTGACAATGAGTTTGAGCACCTATAGTTTAGCTGAAATTTTGTTTTTAATAAAGTAATACATTCTAGGTTTTACTCCCCAGGTTTTAATAACATGATTAGTTACCTCTTCCCTGGTCCACCTAGTTTTCCCCAAGTGACGCTTTCCAGACTTGGGAAGTAGCCCATCATAGTCATGGTCACACATCTCAATGTCTTCATCATCCTCATCGCTACTGTATATGCTGCAGAAATAAAAAATGGGCAGATGCAGACTGGAACAAGAAGGTTTAAACTATTGGATTACAAAAATCCCACAAAAAACCCCAGCAATCTTTTCAAAGGTTAAGATGATAAAACTTTGAAAACTTCCACAAAATTGTTTTCTGCATTCTGTTGCTCTAGTATTGGAAACTGGTTCTGCTGTTATTGGTCTCCACAGATACAGCAAAGGACCTGGCACTTCCTTACTGCCCTGCATGTTTAAACCTGCTGTTACTGTTAGACCAGTGACAAGTTACACACTTGGCAGGCAACTTTCCAACCAATGAAGGTTTAGGTTTAAAACTTAATATTAAGGACAATAAAAGGTACGAGAGCACATGTCCTTTATGTAAGTATACACTCAAGATTTTCAGCATACATCACAATATTTAAAAAATACTTCCCAAATATAATAAATAACTCAGTTATGTTGTTCCAATGGGACTGGTGTTTTATTAAGAGAAAAACATTCAGGAAGTAATATACCCAACAATATATAGTCATTCCTTCAAGATTAGAAGACTAAGAGAATCTAAGAGGAAAGGATTTAAAAAAAAAACACAAAACAAACAAAAAAAAAACACCAAGGAAGAATAAAACATTCAAGTGATCTACATTGTAAATAACATTAATACCAAACACTTCAAAACTCTAGGCCAGTTGATCCAACTTGTGGCCACATTTACAGTACTCAGTTTCCAGAGTGACTAACTGTGTAATTAGGCCACCAGATAGGCAGAATCTTACTCTTTTTTTCAAAAATCTCTGACTGAATGGTATTTGAAATATCTTAAAATGTACCTAATTCAAAACTAAGGAATTCCCCCAGATGGGTTTTAAAAGAGCCTTTTCTTTTACCTAGTTGACCCAAACTATGAATTTTGATGACTTTTGAAGTTACTCTATACTTAATGTTTATTAATCATAGTCTGAATAATGAGAGTAATTTTTCTGTCACAGTTTACTTTTACTTATAATTTTTACTTATCAAATTAAGATATGAAGAAAAAATTGTGCCAACTAAAAAAATTCAATAAGATTTACTATTGTAACACTGAGACTAATAAAATAATGATATAAAGCAATATCATAATGTAACTTATTCTTTTTAAAAAGAAAGTTTATATCCACATTAGGTATGTCTCCCCAAACTATTTTACAAGTATAGATTACCCACCCTTTATAAGTCAAACAAAAGTGCTTACCAAAAACTCTGAATTTTAGGTTCTTATAATTTAAAACTATTATTTGGGGCAACAATCTGAAGGTCCAGGATGCATGGTGACAAGCAGGGTGTGATCCAAAAGTAATAGGCATCACCCACACAAAAAGGACATTAAACTGTACTTGTAATCTATAACCATTTCTTTCATTTAGTGCCTATCCCTTCAGGTCAAGCCTGAAGTTCTGCAGTGTCAACAAGAGGCTCTTAACTTCTGATCAACAATTACAATAGTTTCCCTTAATAAAAAAAAAAAAAAAAAAACAAGCATCATAAGTGAAACCATGATTAGAAGCCCAGAGCTGTAGGTCAGCATCTTTTGAAAGATTCACAGGGAACTTCTTGGAAATCCCCCAAATGAAGTGTCACCCTTGTGAAATATCCGGGATACCAAGAAAATCAGAGTAATCTGAAAGTGACCCATCGATTCAACTCAATTTAACTTTTTTAGGTTTGGAGAGATCTGGAGATTACATTTTCAGAACTTCTCTATCTGGAAACAGCTCAACTCCCAGAAACAAGCAACATACTCAGCCACCCATAGGGGGCAGCCAACATCAGTGGAGAGAGAACAGGCATCACAGGATTCTGGAGGCAAAGGGTGCCAGTCCTAGTTCTGCTTCCAGCCTAGCTGCAGGACTTGGACAAATCACTTCCTCTCTCTCAGGACCTCAGTTCCTTGCGTCTACCTTAAAGGGCTTGGATTCTATAATATTTCTAAGGTACTTTCCAGTGAGAATAAATAATGGTTCCATGACTTCCGTGCCTCTTAAACATTAAGCACAGAAGCAGAGATGTGAAGCAACGTTTTTTGGGGGGAAACGTGGCGTGTGACTTCCGCAGGTCCTGAAGGAAGAAGGAGCCGGCGAGGGGAGCAGGGCGAGCCCAGGGCTGCTCACATGCTCCTGGTCCATCAATGGATTAGCAAGGGGGCTCGCCTTTGAGATTTGCATGTGATTTCCTTGCTCCGAGTTGTCCGGGTCGCCTAAGTAGCATGATTAATTTCTACCAAGGGCCCTGAAATAACTCTTCCCTTCGTCTGTACTGACAAGATCTCAGACCCAACAGTCAGAGAACTTGTTCAAAGGCTGATTTCAGGCTTGATGCACTCGACTCCCCCACCTGCTAGACCTGGTGCGGTTACAGGAGTACAACTATGAATATGACCTTCTGTCAAGGAAACAAACCGTGCAAAGAAACGAGAAAAGAAAAGAGGTGCTTGGGGAGGGGGGGGGGGTGTTGGGGGTTGGGAAGAGGGTGGGGAGCGGGAGGATGTGTCTTGTGGCCGCTACTGTGATTCTAGAAATGGGGTTCAGACTCATTTCGCTGACCTGGTTAAGAATCCCTGCCCTGTTTGACGCCGGCCTTTGCAAGAAACGGCTCCTCCGGGCCGCAGCCGGGTTTCTCTTCCCCCGCCCCGAGGCAGGTTCAAGGCTCCCGCCCCGCCGGGCCGCCTCCCCCGCCGCTACCTGGGAGCCAGGGAACCGGACGCCCCGCCCCGCCCCGCCGGGTGCATCTAGAGCTGCCCGCGCGGAGCGTCCACCCGGCCTCCCCCAGCACCCCTTCCCAGCTCCCCTCCTCTTCCTCCCAGTTTCTGCTCTCAGGAGTAAAAAGTAAAATAAAAAATAGGCGACCTTGACTCTCCACTGCTCAGTCCCAAAAGCGAAGGTGAAACCAGTTAAGGAGCAGCACCCTCGCCCCGCTCAGGCGCAGGGAGTCAGCCCCCACACCACCCCCAGGTCGCCTCCCTTTTCCTCTGGCGCCCACCCCCCCGCTTCGGCGCTGCTCCCCATCCGGCCAGACTGGGTCCTGGGTCCGAGGGTGCTGCTGCACCGCCCACACCCACGCTCTCTGCAACGTCCCAGTGCTGCGCGGGGGACCGGCAATAGCAGGTTCAAAGACAAATAAGTACAAGAAAACCAAACAACCCGGAGGAGGAAAAGGGGTTGGGTTTGCTTTGCCTTCTGGAACTTTTCCCCCCAGATCTCTTCGCTGCGGTCTGTCCGGTCACCCCTCCTCCGCCCCGGCGACCCACGGCAGCGGGAGCAAGGTGCAGGGAGGAGCTGGCCACCGCGGCCGCATCCACGTGTGCGCGCCTCTCGCCCGGAACCTGGAGCCCAGGGCGAGAGCCCCCGGGGATCGCGTCCCGGTTGCGCGGCAGCGCCCTGGGTGCTGCCCGACTCCGTCCCTGGCCGTTGAGTGGCAACGCAGAGGGCCGCCGAGCTGGCCCCGCACCCGGCCGCTCTGAGCCGGCTCCCGCGCGTCCGGTCTGGGAAGTCCGGGGGTCGGGTGGGAGCCAGAGCCCCAGCAACTGACAGTTGGGACCCGTGTGTCCCTCCCGCTCCGTCCCCTCGCCCCCTCGCCCCCTTCATCAGTCCAACATGCAAGGGGGCTTCAATCGTCCGCCCCAACCAAGCGCGGTGACATGTGCAGCGCCGGCCGGAGGCGCGTGTGAAATGTTTGCATTAGAAATCATCACTTCCCCCAGAGAAGAATGATTTGAACCTTCCAAGCCAGGGCTTAAACCCATTTTGCAAATGTAGAGAGACTCATTCCATCCCCGAAAAAATATATAGATTTTTTTCCCCTAGCCGCCTGTCACCTGACGCTGTTCTTGGACTCCATAAAGAATGAATGAAATTTAAATGAACTACCTGCAGCTACGGCACAATCCGGCATTTCCCCTCTATCTGCCATATGCTCGGCATTCTCAAGTTCAAACAAATCGTAATGCACCCAGCAATGATGCCGCGACTCCCTCGCCGACATCCGCGGCATCGAGTCGGGGACCCCGGTGGGCTCCCCGGGGCCGGTAGGCACCGCTCACTCCCGCGCAGAATCGTGCTGCTCTCTCTCCCCTACAGAGAAGCGCAACTTGCAAAACGAGCCGCGGGGAGTGCTTCCCGGCGTCCTGACACATTTCCTCCTGCACCGGCTCTTCCATTCATCCGTCTTTCCAGCGGCTTCTGCCGCGGAGGCAGAGGTCCTGGGGACTCGCAGGATCTGACAGCCCCGCGTCAGATCCGGGATCCAATTCCCACCTGCTCTCCGGGAGCCTAGCGCCCCGCGCGCGCCCCGACCCGCGGCCGCCCTCCCGGGCTCCCCGTTACCTGTGCCGGGGTCTCCGGGCCATGGCGCGGCGGGCGCGGGGCTCCGCCGGGAGCCGCGGGGACCGCAAGGGGCTGCAGCCTCCCGCTGCCCGCCGCTTGCCTGCGTCCTCCCCGGCTGCGCAGCGGCGTTCCGGGGCGAAGTTTCTCGGGAGAAAGAGGTGGAGGAGGAGGAGGTCGCGGAGGAGGAGGAGGAGAAGGAGGAGGAGGAAACAGGTTGATATTAAAGTGTAAACTCTGTAAACAGAGATGCCATCAAACAAAGAGCCTTGGACACTCCCCCTCCCGCCAAATCTGGCGCCCCTGCAGTGCGCACGCGCCCTGCCCGCCGCCTCCGCGGTCGCCTTGGCTGCCGCCCGCGGGGCTGCGGAGCCGGCCGGGCCGCCGCGCCTCCCGGGCTCCCGCGCCCCGCGCTGCGCCTGGCGCGCCCCGAGGCCCGGGCGGCGCGCGGGCGGGGAGCCCAGGGCCAGGGAGGGGGTGGCCGGGGAGGCTGCGGCGGCGGCGGCGGCGGCGCCTTTTCCTTCGCAAACCCCGCTCCCCGGCCCCGGCCGCCAGGGCCCGCGCCACGTCGCGCTGAAGCCGCCTCTCTCCTGCTCTCGGCGGCCTCCCCACGCGGCACGCTCCGGGGCACCGGCACCCGCGCCGCCGGCCTCTGACTCACTGTTGCGGGGGCGGCGATGGGCGCGCAGCGGGGTGGGGAAGGGGGCGCGACTGCCGCTTTAGGGATTGTGTTTGGGGCCGGGTTTAAAACTCCTATTTCTGGAAATGGGTATGGGGGTTTGGAGAGGGGGTGGGGGCGAATAGGAGGAATGGGAGCATATATATATTTTCATAGGAAGTTAGGCTAGATTTTTTTTTTTTTTTAATTCTAATGTAACTGGTTGGTGCAAAAGGACACACATTTGGAATGTAGCCGGGGCGATCACGGTTCATATATGGGACGCTCCCGCGGAGCTCTCAGTCCCCTCCTAGATCCTGGAGCCCACGCGCCACCTCCGCGCAGTCACAGACCCTTCACTCTCGCCCGGGGCACGCCCGGCCCCACCCACGCGGCCCGGCCCAGGCGGCACCCCCGGCACGCCTCCGCCCGCACCCGCTCCGGGATCGCGCTGGATCGGTGCAAACACCTGCATGGTCCAGGGGCTCCAAGCGGCGCGCCCCCAGCGCAACTCAAGAAACCCCCTTTTTGCACGCGCAGCTTTAAAAGTTAAACAGTTTGCAATGCGGTTGTCGGTATCCTTGCTTAGTGTTTTGCAAGATAAAAATCGTCCCAAACTGTTCGTGTGCATTTCACTAGGGGCTCCCGAAGAGAAGTAAAGGGAGGAGATGAGTGCTGAATTTATAAGGATTGATGATTGGGGGATTTTAGGGGAGTTTTAGTTTTACTTCCGTTTATAGACTTGTACCATGGGGGATTTTTTTTTCTTCATTCTCTGTATACACTAATTTATTTTTCCTTTAATCTTATAGGAGTTTGAGACTTCTGCTGACTGGGTTTGTGGGTGTCCCATGTGCCCCCGGCAGTTCAAACTTAGCTCAGAAAGCATTTTTTTTTCTTACTAAAAAAGCATTTTCTTACTGAAATGAGTCATAATTTTATTAAATGGCGAAGCATGTCAGGTTTCAAGACTTTATCTGGTGTTTCAAACTTTGTTTCTTAAAAATTGAAATACAGTCTAAATTCTTATCAAAAATGTTAGTTGCTAGTAAGAGTAAAACATTCCTTTCTTTGTGAGAAAAACAACAACACTGAAACAAAATTATTGTGAGATATTTCAGTTCACAATTCTGAAAGACAAGTCACAGGAAGTTTATATGTTTTCAAAGCCGGTGTTTATTGCTAGGTTCTTGAACAAAGTTTCTCCACATAAAAAATACCGGTAAACACATTTAAAAATATCTAGAAACCACCTGTAAAGGAATTGCATTCTGTCTTTGGGATTATTTTATGAATCTAACTGGCATGATTCCCAAATGCTGAGCCTCTGCCACACTGAGAATATCTGAACATTTCCCAAAGTGACTTCATAGCCTCTTTCCAAGGTTTCTTAGGCGTTAAAACAGCTCTATGATTCTTAAACTCCTTTTAAGGGGAAAGATACCAAATTCTATTATTTCCTTTGTGCATCATTTTCCTATGTGTTGTCTTGAGAATTTATACTACTTTCATTCCCCAGACATTTTGGGTTATCAGTTCACATTTTCCCTTATATGTGTGTGTGACAAAAATATATTTGGGGGGCAAGCTTAGTCCAATAAAGAGTATACATGCAATGATTCTTACTAGGCTAATTTGGGATATATTGCCACCTGATAAGTGTATGGGAGGATAGGATATAATATTCTACCATAAATCCTTGTGCGAATAAAACATATTTTCAAAAACATTGCAGAATGTTCACTGTAACTATATACATTTCCTTTTTCCACTTTAATTACAAACTCATTTTAAATGACTTTATATATTTTTCATTACTCTCAATTTTTTTAAAAAAAATCTGCTGAATCAGTTATTTTAGCTCTGGCAGGGCTAGGATAGTGCTAACTTCAGACACAGGATTTTAATTGCAAAGCACTAGGCAGGAGTCAGCAAACTTTTCTAGAAAGGGCCAGATGACTGTGTTCTATATTCCTTCCCTCCCCTCCCCTCCCCTCCCCTCCCCTCCCCTCCCCTCCCCTCCCCTACCCTCCCCTCCCCTCCCCTCCCCTCCCCTCTCCTCTCCTCTCCTCTCCTCTCTCTTCTTTTTCTCCCCACCCCCATCTCTTTTACCAACACTTTAGAAATGTAAAAATCATTTTGAGCTCAAAAGCTGTGTCCAGGCTGCAGGCCTTCATGAAACCAGTGATCCTTAGTCTCCAGTGTGTATCAGAATCACTGGGTGTGACCATGAAAAATGTACAGTCCCAGGTAGGCCCCCTGGAGACAATGATTCAGTAGGTCTGACGCAGGGCCCAGGAATCTGCCTTTTACACAAGTACCCAAGGGATTATGGTGGAAGAGGTGTCCAGACCACTGACTGTCAATCTGGCTCAATACATTTTTCCCTTTTCTCACCACCTTCCCCTACTTTATTCTCTGCCTCCTCTCCTGCGCTAAGAATTCAGAGTCTCACTAACCCAAATTAACTCAAGCCCATGGGAAAGTGGATACCAAGTGACCACAGGGCTGTGTCAGTCTATTCCTTCTTCCTTTACTAGGAAACGTCAGCCCATCTCTGAAATCCGGAAGAAAAGGAATCACTTACTGATTGTCATCATGATTCTACTCAGAAAAGCAAGCATGTAAAGCATTTTATTTTACTCTGAACACTGGGGAAGAAAGATGTGTAAAAGGTACAATAGTCCAACGTTTTTGCTTCTATTACTGAGAAATCCTGAGCATGTGGTAGCTCTTTAATACCTGTGATCAGTGTCTCAAAGGTGAATGAATTTTATCAATGATGGTGACAGTCAAGGCTTTAGGGACTCTATGTCTCTAACTGCTCACCTTTCCCCACCACCTCAACACAATTTGGGTCAGAACATTAAGAGGGAGATATTTACAGTAAACACCAAATGGTGAAAATACATAAAATTCTTGAGGATTTCGGTTAATGAATGACAGACAGCTGGATCATCTATAATTGCAATCTGTAGGTTTGAGATAAACCTCATGTTAGCTAGCTGTAAGATTTTAGTAATAACCCCGGGGGAAGTACAATGTTTCCTAGAGTCTCCATATGAGATAGTGACTAAATTAATAATTCCTGGATTTTGCCTTTCCTGTGTGTTCCCAACCTCCTGATTCTCATAAACTTATATACTCTTATGACAACCCACCTGCCTATTTTCATTGCCATTGAAATGGAGTCTTGGGTATAAGGTATGAGTTTTTTCATGATGAGGGAAGAACACTCCTGTGTAAGGGAAAGTGTGAGCAAAAGCATACAGCCAGAAACCACAAGGCATATTCCAAGCACTGCAATAAGGAGCTGTCTAGATTGCTTGGAGCAAGGAGCGCTTTAAAGGCCAGATGATAGAGAGAAGTGTGCATGTGTATGTGTGTGTGTAATGGAAGACCTACATTTGAAAAACGAATCTAATAGTATTATCACATAAATCAGAATGAGAAGAACATGAAGGGGATGAGGTCAGTTAATTGTTCTTGACTAAGACAGCAACCCTAATTGGAATGAAAAAGGAGGGGGCAGATCAGAACACTATATAGGCAGAACCTTCAAGACTAGTAACTGATTGGATGGCTCTTGGAGGCACCATTAATAGAAATAGGGAAGTCAAGAGGGGAAGAGAAGTGTGCGCTAAGGAGATTCAAAGAGGAAAGTGAGTTTAGATTTCAGTATGTTACGTTTGTGGTTTCATATGGAAGAGACCCGGGTAGAGTTGTTCGGCAGGTGGTAGAGAGTGCGGGATCCGACTCTGCTGGAGAGGTTGAACTAGACAGTGGTTTAATAGAGTAAACCAGTTGTGAGCCAGTTGTTAGACACATTCATTATTAAAAATGAAATTATTTAAATCCACAATTAAATATATATTTAAAGGTAATCAATATTTAAAACTAATAATTTCTTAATTATTTTGCTACACTCTACTGTTACATATGCTCCTGAGATTATTTATCTCTAACATATCTGCATGATAGAAATACTGTGTAATGTATGCTAATCTGTATATCTTTCCAATTCTGTGTTTAGTGAAGACATGTGGGTAGCTTGCAATGGGCTAAGGATGTAGTATTTATACCACAAATAGCAGCAAGTGCTATAAATAGGGCCTTTCCCCAGAATACTGGTGGTTAAACCTTGACCAGGGCAACACTGAGTAAATGCTATGTTTAAGAGTTATTTGCATGAAGGCAATAATTGCGCAAACTCATGGATTTGCTAATATACATTTGTATAGAAAGATGATCAAGGAAAAGTATTTGGAGAATACTTAAGGGGTTCAAAGGTGAGACTGACTGTAGGGGTTAGGTGGAGAGATCTGTTATTAAGCAAAGAAAATTATACACTGGGTGGCCAGATTATTATGATCTCTGAACTCATAATAATCTGGCCACTCAGTGTATATCCTATATAATAAAAGGCTAATATGCAAATTGTCCCCTCCATCAGGAGTTCGACCAGGTCAACCAACCAGTCAACCACCCATTCTCCTCCCCTTGGCCAGGCTGGCTGGACCCCACCCATGCACAAATTCATACACCGGGCCTCTAGTGTGTGTGTATGTGTGTGTGTGTGTGTGTGTGTGTGTGTAGCCAGATTATTATGCATTCAGAAATCATAATAATCTGGCCACTCAGTGTATGTGTGTGTGTGTATGTCTATTCTTTTAGATAGACTCATGTAGTTTGTCAACTGATTTTGACAGGTTTTTATTTACTTTGA